ATTTTTCATTCCTGTGAAGGATTTTAGCCTCTTCTTCTCCTCTCACAGGTATCCTCCTGAACAGGGGTATCAGACACAGAGTGGATTGTTACCCCTTTATGTCTGCAGGCAGGACTACCTCACCAATAGCACTTAACCTATTAACTTAGCCAGAGGCTATACTTAAAAAAGAAAGTCAACATTTATGACTTGGTAATAATGGCCGTCCTATGAGTACTATCCCAGCCTTAACATGTTCGCCTCCCTAGGAAATACATTATGTACTCTCAGTTTTATCTGCAGCTGGAATTATGGTAATGACTTTAACCTCTCCTACTGTCCTTTTACTTGTTAAAAGTGTTTATGTTTAAATTAAACCATTGTTTAGTAGGGTCTGAGGCTAGCTTTCCCCCAGCAGCTGGGATCTTAGGGAATGTTTACTGAGGCCTCCAGCTCCCTGGCCTGTGGGTTGGGCTCAAAACTCATCCCATCACTCCTCATAGGGCATGCAGGATCCCACCAGACTTGGGAGAGAAAGGCTATTTTGTTGGTGCACTTGGAGGGATGCTAGTGAGGTTTGGTCCAACAAGTCTTAGTAGAAAATATTCCCCTTCAGATGATGACACCTCAGTAGAGTATGGGACTGCTCCTGGGGGCACCAAGAGGGAAGAATACAGGGGACTGTGTGGTGTTGTTTTAGAACTCCAATAAGCAAATATATTATTTCATCATCAACCAGTCCTTTGGTTCTCTAACACCAACTAGGTGTTCAACAATCAGTTAAATTCTACACTAAATACTACCTCAAATTAGCACAGACCCCACAGGTTAAAGTTCCATAGGACTGCCCCCACTTTAGATGGCAGCCAAAAGTGGGGTCTCCAGGCAACCAGCATATCTGCCTGGCTGACTACAAATCTGGGGTTCCCACAACCTCCCCCCGCCCCACTCCCCACTGGTTCAGTAATTTGCTAGAATGACTCACAGAACTTTGGAAAAACCATACTGTGTTATAAAGGATACAACTCAGGAACAGCCCAATGGAAGAGGTGTATAGGGCAGGGGATGGGGGTGGGGGGCACAGAGTTTCGTGTCCTCTCTGGAAACGCCACCGTCCCAGCTCATTGATGTGTTTACCAACTCAGATGCCTCCTGAACCCCAACATTTAGGGGGGTTCATGGATATTTCATTACATAGTCATGCTCGATTACACCATGAGCCATTGGCAATTAAACTCATCTCTAGTGCCCCCTCCTCCCTAGAAGTGGGAGTAGGGAGAGGCTGAAAGTTCTAGCCTCCAGTCCTGTGGCTGTTTGTTCTGGCTACAAGCTACTTCCTCTAACCTATGGGGCCCCTCTCTCCTCCATGAGTCATTTCATTAGCATACGAAAGACTGCCAGGAACCAGAGACAAAAACCAAATACTTACTTTTTATTTTATCTTAGGGAAAAATTCATGATTGGCCCAAGCCTCTTTGGCTCAGGCTGTGGTAAACCAAGAAAGGATGGACACAATGGGGACAGGAGGAAGCCCACAAGCCCTCATCCTGTCTCCGAGGACCTTTGGGCATCTCTTCCTCTGACCCCTCCTCAGAGACATAGACTAAAGCCCAAAACGTGGGCTCAGCTCCTGAATGAGGGTATAGATGTTATGACCAATGGCCACTGGCAAGAGAAGCTAAGGAAGCTCTTGCTGCTAGAAGTTCAAGGAGTTAGGAAAGACAGGAAGCTGGGTGGAATTAAAAACAAAAACAGAAATTTTTCATTCCTGTGAAGGATTTTAGCCTCTTCTTCTCCTCTCACAGGTATCCTCCTGAACAGGGGTATCAGACACAGAGTGGATTGTTACCCCAAGCACCCCCTCCCTGAGGCTTCCTTTCTGTTCTCAGGAGCTCTCTGTGCACCCTCTGTGACACCTGCTTTCTTTCTGATGCTGGTGCCTGTGACAGGCTCTGAACTCTGCTCTCTTTCTCTGTTGCCCTAAGCTGGAGCTGTCCCTGAGGGATTTTCATCTTGCAGAATAATTTGGCATTTACAGATAATTTACCAAACCATTTGTTTCCATATAGAGGAAGTCATGCTCGCTGAAGAAAATAAAAATGCTGGAACATCTGCCTTAGAAGGTAAGGAAATGTTCTGACGCCTTATTCCAGTTGCATTTGCTCCCTCTTCGGCGATGGCAATCTCTCTTGATCAAAAGGGGAGAAAGAAATAAAAGACGGTGCTCTGGGATTTGAAATGAGAGTCTTTCTGTCATAAAATCCCTCATGCTTTAAAATGAAGGGAATTGAGTCACAGATTTAAATGCCTTTTAAAGTGATGAAAATGAAACCCAAGAGTTGCTTTGTTCCAGGGCATGTGATTGATACTGAGTGAGGAAAAGGCCATCCTACAACCACTGCTATCTAAAGGGACCTTCTCTTAAAATGTGTGGGGGTCACCTTGAGACCACTTTCATTACCAGGAAGTGGCATTGTGGGTGAAGAGCCAGTTCAGATGGATACAGAGTGCCTGTTTACCTTCTGCATTTAGATAGGCTCTAGCATGGCTTCCAGAGCCCTTGTGTTGCAGGAGGTGCTGGTGAGCACAGCATTTGTGGTCTAGTAGACGTCCTTGATTTCTCTTACCCTGGCTCAGGTATTAAAGGCAGATAGATGCCAATGCTACAGGGACCTCAAACAAGGCCTCTTGCCTGCATTCCTCAAAGTTTTGTCCAGAATGGTCTGTGTGTACTTGTGGCCTCTCACTGGCCTTCCCTTTCCCTGGTGCAGTGCTTCGAAGGGCAACCATCAAGAGGAGCCGGACAGAGGCCATGACCCGAGACTCCAGCGATGAGCACTGTGTTGATATCTCCTCTGTGGGTGAGTGGATCCAGTTAGATCTTTTACTTCTCTGATCGCCCATGAAAAGGAAGATCCTATCTTTTGAGAAGCACCACAAGGAGGGAAAGAATCCAAACAGTCCAGAATTTATGAATGTAATTAAGGAAAAGGGTGGAAATGGAATCTAGATTACAATGATTTGTTAAAAAAAAAAAAAAAAAAAAAGACCTGGGGATACTGTTCACATGAAACATGGGATTTAGGGCTAAGAATCCAACCCAAGTTTTTCAGGTGTGGCAGATGTATTCCATTTGCAGAGGTATCCTCCCTCTCCTGGGAGTGATGATGAGAATCACCACTTTGGGACATTGTTCAAAGGATCCTGAGGACCTGTTGCTTCCAGGGACATGGATGTGAGATCTTGAAGCCATTTGCTTCACTTAAAACTAATTCTGATTGGCAATTCTTTAATATTAGGGGTTCCATCTCATGTGCTCCTAGAGATTCTGGCTGATGGCAGGTTTTTCCTCCCCAGAAAAAGGGAAAAATCTTGTTCCATCCTCAAAAGCAGAAGAGACTTACAAAGCTCCTTGCTGTTTTGTGCCACCAGTAGTAGAAATACTACCAATGCAGCAAAAGGATTGTAGTGCTTGAAGCTATTTAAAAGGAGAGGGCAGAGAGAAGCCCAATCTGTTGCAAACATAAACACGATCCTATTAAGATTCAAGACGCTGGTGTCCTGCCTGGGGAATCTTTCCATTTCTTAGGACTGAGAGTGCCCAGAGAGGAAAAACAGGTTCACTGCCTGTAGAAACTACTGAGCCCATAAGATGGGGATTCCCTAGACCTGCAATGTGGCAGTCACCTTGCCTTGGACTAGAGCAGCCCATCTTGTCCTTCGAATGCTCCCTGGCCGTGGAGGATGACCACAGGATATTTTGCAGCCTCATTCTTCTTCCTTACTTCTCCCCTTAGGCACACCTCTGGCCCGAGCCAGTATCAAAAGTGCAAAGGTAGACGGGGTCTCTTATTTCCGGCACAAGGAAAGGCTTCTGCGCATCTCCATTCGCCACATGGTTAAATCCCAGGTGTTTTACTGGATTGTGCTGAGCCTTGTAGCACTCAACACTGCCTGTGTGGCCATTGTCCATCACAACCAGCCCCAGTGGCTCACCCACCTCCTCTGTAAGTAAAGCCTCTCTCTAAAGCCTCCTCTGCTGGTCCCCATGTGGGGCAGCTTGGTGTGTGTGTGAACGCAAGAGAGCAAAGCACCCTGCTAGGAGGAGTTCTACCTCTTCACACTGTGAGGGAGGCCACATCATCCTCAAGGGGGCTGGAGTATCTCATGACTGTTTCCAGCTTTCATTCTTTAGGTAAACAGATCATTGCTGATGAATCAACAAGATAGCATAGCATTATACTTTTGGGTACCACAAAGCCTTCAGTTCCTTTCTTAAGGAGGCTCAATGATCGGGAGTTTTGATTACTGAAATCCTGGGCAGGAAGTTCTCAGGGCAATGGAGATCTCAAATAGACCAGAAGAAGAGCTGATAGGTCAGCTCCAGATTAGACTGCCACTGGGCATAAGTGAGGGTCAGGGGCCTGTCCCTGCTGGGTGTGTGGGGAGGAATCCAGCCCTTTGATCAAAGCCATAGTAAGTCCTCTCTTTGCCCTCTGAGGGCCCTCTACCATATAAAGGCCAGTGACAGGCCTGCCTACTGAAAGAGAGCAATGCTGATCTGTTGAGTGCGCCTGGGACTCAGCCTGGGTCAGAGGGTACTCAGACGTCATTAGGCTCTGCCCAGCCCTGGCCTGATATGGCCACCGAATGTCCCGACATGTGTTTTTGTGAGCTGCTCTGTAAGTGGGTGTGTTAGCTGAGAAGTGCCTGAGCCCACCCCACATGTGGAACCAATGCTCTACTTTTAATACTTCCAGACTATGCAGAATTTCTGTTTCTGGGACTCTTCCTCTTGGAGATGTCCCTGAAGATGTATGGCATGGGGCCTCGCCTTTATTTTCACTCTTCATTCAACTGCTTTGATTTCGGGGTAAGTCATCGGAAGCCTGCCTGTGCTCCTGCTTTGTGTTGATAGGCCCTGGTTTTAGATAAGCAGCTTGCTCCTTACTCAGCATGAGGTACTGAAATCAGAATATATAAAACGAGAATCGATAAGATTAGCTAAAGGGAATTCAGAAGTGAATGAATCCTTCCCATGCAAGGTTTGTTTGTTTTTCTAAGCTCTTTAATTTTCAATATTTTTATTAAAATGTAACACATACATTATAAAGGGTACACTTAAGTGTATAGCTCCGTGAGAGTTTACAAAGCTACCCATAGCCAGACTTTTGAACCACTTATTATCTTGGGGGAAGCCTGAGAAGGACAGAGGACTTGATTCTAGAGGTGGTTCCATAGGAAAGAGAAGCTTATGTATTTGTTTTTCTACTTCAGTTTAAAATTGGGATAATTATCTAGATAGACCCTCACGCAAACACATACACACACACTCTTATATTAGCAAGTCCCCACAGAGAATCTCTCAGTCAGCTGTTTACTTTCTACATAGTATGGATATCTAAATGTATACATTGTGCTAACACTTCAAGGTGCTTTCACATATCTTTTATTTTTGTCCCCTGCCGCTTACAGGAGTCCTGTGAACTATATTACATTTCAGGAGTTAGCCTTCCCACTTACACAAGAATAAATAGAAGCTCCCGTGCCCAAGTTCATATACCCAGTTAGCAGCAGAATTGGGTCGCAGAACTTTGGGCTCCTGAACCACTTCTCTTTGTGCCAATCCCACTACTTTTTCTGCCAAAGCTTCAGTTAGGTGCTAAAGATTTCGAGCACTTGCTAATCTACATTTTAACTTGGAGCATATGGTTCTGAGTATGGGCAATTTTCAGGCATAGCAGCTAGTGAGAGATCACTTTAACCTTAGTTTCTTTGTGTCCGTACCTTTCGGCATTACTCTCGGGATTAATAGTTGTTGTTTCTCCTAGCACAATATCTAGAACATAGTGGACATTCAATAAATACATATTTAAAATAAAAGGAAATTGAAATGTTCATCTGCAATTGCTGCATCTTGTAGCAATCAGATCCTACATCACCATGAACTGTCACATTGCGGGATGCAAGACTTCTGTGACTGAGAGATATTTATTATATCAAGGACCGAAACGTTCTTGTTAGCACTGAATTTTAGGATGATGAGAGAATGTAGACCTTCTCTGAGATTTCTGTATGGAGATGAAACTTGTACTAATCCAAATCAGTTTCTTTGTTTTGAGTACCACTCCTTTGTCAGAGCAGCAGAAGCAGCAACTGGCTGTTGTAGTTTTCACCAAGGACAGGAGTCAGTAAGCCAATCTACAATATGAAGGATTAAAGTTAGGAAGGGGATTGAAGAGCAATGGGAGAGAGGTGGCAGCTTCCCACATAGGTAGTTTTACTGAAGGTAGGGCTGGTGGGAGAGGAGAGTTTTTATTCCCCCATCCCCCACTGAGAGCTGTTGATTGTGTGCTGGGCGTTAGAATGCCCCCTCTTCTTCTCCTCCTCCTCCTCTCACTGTGACTGGCATTGCCTCTCTAGGTCACAGTGGGCAGTATCTTTGAAGTGGTCTGGGCAATCTTCAGACCTGGTACGTCTTTTGGAATCAGTGTCTTGCGAGCCCTCCGGCTTCTAAGAATATTTAAAATAACCAAGTAAGTGAGCAGAATTTGGACTTTTCCCAATGACTTTGAGAGTAGAACCTTTTCTCTGCCTTATATTTTCTTCCATCTTCTCTTTCCCCCTTAGGAGGAAAGTATCCCTTCCCTGCCCCACCCCTTCTCTATTCTTTAGCTCTTCCTTCTTCTCCAAAGATTAAACCAAAAATATCTATGGTGCCACATTCCCAAGGGGAGCAATAGGTTGCTGCCCTCTTTACTTCCTACAGATATACAAATGCAGGTTATTTCATAGACTACCAGGCAGATGCTGAGCTGGGCTTGGGGGCTAACTTGGTATGCAGTGTTCACAGCTGTCACATTGTCTGGGTTTTGTAGGTATTGGGCTTCCCTGCGGAATTTGGTGGTCTCCTTGATGAGCTCAATGAAGTCTATCATCAGTTTACTTTTCCTCCTCTTCCTCTTCATCGTTGTCTTTGCTCTCCTAGGAATGCAGTTATTTGGTGGCAGGTAAGTGCTCAGAAGCTTTCCATCCAAAGGAGGCTCAAAACCCAGTCCTAGCCTGTGTTAGGCCAGGGTCTAATATTAACTCGATCACCATGTTACTATCCTGTCTGCCTTTGCCCATGGCCTGAATTGACCACCGAGTGCGTGCATATGTGGAGTAAACATCTCTGCTTTTATTACTTTCAGGCTGTACAGGGTTCTCGTTCCGGGGACCCATTTCTTTGGTGCTGTCCCTGAAATGTGCAGCATGGGCACATCCTTCAAAGTGCATAGTTCATCAGTAGTAGTCATTGTTACAGTCTTTATAAGTTATGTGGAATGGGGAAAAAGTAGGGAAGAAGGGGGCTGTAGAAGAAAGGGGAAAAGACGTGATGAAAACTGTGATCTTGGGGAATGAAAAACTTGGTATGTGAGATTTTCATTCCATTCTTTTCTCTACTTTTTTTTTCAGGTTTAACTTTAATGATGGGACTCCTTCAGCAAATTTTGACACCTTCCCTGCAGCCATCATGACCGTGTTCCAGGTATGAGGCCAGCTGACGGTTCACAAGTGCTGCATGAGGTCCCTTGGACTGCACACTGCAAGACAAGGATGAGTTTCAGGATAATTCTGCTTTTCCTTTCCAGGCTCCTCCCAGGGGAGTGAGACACTCTTTCTAGTTGAGCGGTCACTACTACAATAATCCCTAGAACTTCTGTGGCTTTGTTCTTACCAATAATAAGAGAGCTCTGTTGGGACCATCTCACTGTCCTTCTCCCACACCTGTGAGTTTGCAGGAGACATTGAGTCTGAGGCATTCAGCCAAGAATCACATCTATGGTTTTCTGAAATCTAGGGACATCTTCTAACCCATTTAACGAGGTATCCATTAAATGGTGTTTATTTAACAAGGTCTCTTTTCCACCCCTGCTTCCCCCAAAACTCAACTGTTTAAATCATGGGGAAAATTCAAAATTGATAGTATCTTAGACCTAAAGAAAAATACTATTTGGCCAGAATCTGAGGTTGGACCAGAACCCAAGTTTCCTGAACTGCAGCTCACAAGGCTCTTTCCAATCCTGCTGCTGTTCCAGACCCTGTATCTGGGCAGCTCTGAGGACAGTTAGGTAATGACCAGACCACCTGATCTGTGTGATTTCCACAAGGACCTTGCAAAACTGAAGGTGGGAGACACTCTGTAGTTGGAGGAACAGAACCTTTCCCTTTGATGCTCTCCTTCCATTTTCAGTGTCTAAAATTCTCTTCCATATCAAAAGAAAGTTTAGGATTATTTATGGGACTTTTTTTTAACTCCCTGGCAGGATGGTCAAGCAAAGGGGTAGATGCAAAAGACCCAGGCCCAGAATTTGCCCTTGGTATTGACCCCATTTTCTCCACCAGCCCAGGTTTCTGATGTGCCTGTCATTTGCTTTGTGTAGATCCTGACGGGTGAGGACTGGAATGAGGTGATGTACAATGGGATCCGCTCCCAGGGCGGGGTCAGCTCAGGCATGTGGTCTGCCATCTACTTCATTGTGCTTACCTTGTTTGGCAACTGTATCCTTTTTAAGATGTACCTCCTCAAGCTGCCCGCCTTCCTGGACCAGCATTTGAGGAGGTATTGGTGGTGGTGGTGCTAGAGCTTGGGTTGATGGGACAAGGGCGTGGACATTGTTTGGTGTACTAAAGTAAATAAGGATCCTGATCTGAAGGACTTCATGTACTAGTTGGGTAAAGAATACAAACATAAACAAGATAGAGTATTATCCAAATCTGTCATGTATGCAAAGAATAACATAGGAGACTGTTACATTGAATGGTTGGTGGTACTATGAGCTGGACAACATTAGACAAAGCAGAGATCACTGTAGGCTGAAATAGGCACATTATACCACTAATGAATTAATTACATGCTAATGTAGAACAAAGCCTGCCACATAGTAAGATCTCAAAACATTAGCATTAGGATTAAGGCCATTACTGCTAATTCTAGCAAATATGTACTGTATTTGGGCTATACGTGAGACCTTAAACTAAGTGCTTCATAGGCACTATTTAATCCTTATAGGAGAAAAAAAAATCTCGAGTAAAATAACTATTAAATTGTAAAGGGAGACTAAAGTCCAGTTCCATCTAACTCCAGTGCCCTATCCAATCACAAGATCTAGACCAGGAGATTTAGGTTTTAATCCCAGCAACTCTGTGTATCAGCTGTGTGGCCTTGGGAAAGTTACTTAATCACTCCAAGCTTCTATTTTTTTACAACTGAAAGGAGGATAATAATATTTATCTCCTTTGTTAGTGGTGAATACTAAATGAGACAATTTATTTGCATGTGATTTATAATTGCAAACTTCTATACAACTGTTAGATGCTTTTGGGGAGTGGGGTTGGCCATGAATTGGGATTAGTAGAATAAAAAGGGAGAACCATGGGATGCAGGTGTATTTTTGCATTTTCCATAGCTTCATAGACTAGACATGCTCTTTTAAGTTTTCTGCCCTGAAAACATCTAGAGGTTGGAGCTGACTAGAAGCTCAACATGAGAAACTCATGAAAAGAACACCAGGTAGTGAGTCACAGTCATGGAAGCCCCATGTGTCCCAATGGCATAATAATTGTCCTGATATCTGGGGGTAGTCAGAGCTGGACTTTGATGCTACAACAGTTCTATGTTCCACAACACATAGGCTTTGAAGACAGTTGGAAATTGAGACTTCAGGCCCTAGAGTATGGCATAGGAATATATTTCATAGTGAATCATGTCTGCTGTGTGACATTTTGTTAAATGAAATGTGGAACCCTTCAGGACCCTCACAAGAAGAACGGGAGAAGTTAGCATCTCATTATTGGGAGATGCTCAGTAACAGGGGCTGTGGAATCTCATTCTTTTTGTCTTTAAGGACAGAATGGTGTGACGCCCATTGGCCTAGATAGGATTCAATTTCAGCCTCCCAGAATGGGCAGATGAGCTCCCACACTGGGCTCCCTGCACATCTTGTTCAGTGATTCTCTTAGTTGTTATTGCTATGGGTAGAGGCCACAGCTGTCTAAAGACCTTTTGAATGTGGCTGAACAAATTCAAAGTGCTTTTTCTGTTCCCTTACTCATCAACAATCAATGCAGAAGACTTCTGTAACCAAATGTGTGGGTTTTTTTTACTCACCAAGCAAACAATCCTGCAGCAGATACTAGTTGGTGTCCTCTAATTCAATTCTGATGCTATCTACCTGGAGAGAGTATTAGATCCCACAGATTGAGGGCTGAATCCCCAAAACTGCCACTGCCTTACAATGACAATTGCATGCCTCAGGTTACTTTACCTGTGTTTTGAAGGCTATAATTTGGGGTTCCCACAACCCCCTTCCTGGGTTCAGTTAATTTGCTAGAGTGGCTCACAGAAGTCAGGAAAACACATTTACCAGTTTATTATAAAGGATATTACAGAGGATACAGTTGAAGAGAGGCAGAGGGAAAGGCATTGGGGATGGGCACAGAACTTTCATGCCCTCTCCGGGAGTGCCAGTCTCCAGGAACCTCCACATGTTCAGCTATCCAGAAGCTCTCTGAACCCTGTCCTTTTGGATTTTTATGGAGTCTTCATTACATAGGCATGATTGATTAAGCCATTGGCCATTCATGATCAACTTAACCTTCAGTCCCTCCCCCCTCCCTGGAGGTTGGGGAGATAGGGCTGAAAGTTCCAACCCTCTAATCATGCCTTGGTTTGGTGACCAGCCCCCGTCCAGAAGCTACCTAGGGGCTACCAGATATCACTTTGGAGTTTCTAAGGATTTTAAGAGTTGTATGCTGGGATACATAGTTAAAGACCAAATAATAACTTTTCACAGTATGGTAATTCTCCTCACCCCATCTGGCCCCCAGATGGTTTGATTCAGGTATTTCTTTATCCTGGGTAAAGAGATGATATGTGGAAGGAAGGAAGAAATACCCTCTTTCTCCTTTCAACAGTTGTACAGTATCTCCCTGTCTGTTCCCACAGCCCCTGCTTAAGTGACTCTTCAGGGTAGCTTCTGTTCCTGTTAGTGTCCCAGGCAGGAAAGATCATTAGGTGGCCTCTCAGCCTTGCTGAAGACTTTTGCTTTTCTTATTTGCCCATCCTTAATTCATCACCCCAGACACGCTACTAAATGTGTTCTTGGCTATCGCTGTAGATAACCTGGCCAACGCCCAGGAGCTGACCAAGGTAAGCATTGTTCTCTGGGGATCTGATGTTTCTCTAGTGCCACTGGGTGCCCTCTGGGTTTTGGAACTCTCTCCAAAAGTCTACATTGTCTGACTTAGGCCTGCCAAGAAGGCCCTTTCTGGAAACTTCTGGACAGTTGGATAGCCACACACCGATGATGGAAGCCTGGTTCACTTTTATTGAGTTTGGTGAGCCTCAACCTCACCTAGGGGGCCTCAAGGAACACAAAAAATAACATCTTAATTTCTATGAGCCCTCAAAGGAGTCCTTTCCAGGATTATCATGGAGAGTCAGGAAAATTCTAGAGCCCTGATTTTAAGTTCCACCTCTGCTACTGCAACCTATGGCTGTGTGACCTGAATCACATGACTTAACCCTTCTGGGTTTTGGTAGGAGAGAGATCAGGGCCATCACAGTTCCTGGGCTATGGCTATTGGGATATTCCAGTGGCCAAGGTCATTTTGGGGAAATTTCAATGAAGCCAGATACTAAATTTCCCAGATACAGTTCTGGGAAATTTTCACAGAACTGTTCCCTTCTTTTCTCTGATTAATTTCCCCAGTATGGGGAGGCAATATTAACAGCAGTGGGATGGTCTACAGAGATGAGTAAATACCCTTTTCTCCACAGAGAGTGTCAATTTGGTTTTGGACAGAAGTGCATAGCATCCTGCTGACGTTTCTGAGCTTCTTCCATGCGTTCTCTGATGTTCTTTCTACATCCTTGAGGGTCTTATTATCCGCCTATATGGTAGGAAAAATACCAGCTTTAAGTAGCTGAGAAACTGGGTCTGAGTCCCACACCTGCCACTGGCTATGCTGGCTTGGCTTGGACTCCTGATCTCCATTAGCATCGGTTTCTTCATGCGTGAGGCAGGAATGCCATATCTGCATTGTGTACCTCACGTGATTACTGTGAGGATCAAGTAAAATAATGTCTGTGAAAACCATAGCATGCTCTGAAGATGTATGTGCTCTTATCAGCTCTAATCCTTTTACCTGAGCTGGTTTTCTTTGGGTTCATCACAGAGGGGATGCTTGTAGGAATGCTGCTTGAAGGGATGAGAGCTCTGCCTAAGCACCCACTTAGCTGTGCAGGGAAGACACTGCAATGGGGTGCTCAGCCTCGGCACTTTACTCGGCGGGGTCCTTGCCTGGAAGGCCCCTGCTCCATCACTTCTAGACACTGTAGGACATCTGAGAAGTGTCAGCTCCTGCCACTGACCTCCACAGCCATAGGCCAGCTCCACTGAGGACTATGGGTTGGGGTAGACTTCACCTGGTTCTCATGAGCAGCCCGTGGATGACTCCAGGATGGAGACAAGGATTGCTGGCCATGCCGGAGCAGTGAGGCTCCTGACTCCCAAGGGGCCTGGCCTCTGGCCATCAGAAGTCTCCGAGCCAACCTAACATCTCGCTACCTTGTTTATCCTCTTCCTGTGTCTTCCTGACTTCACTTGGTATTCAGAACTCTTCTTTAGGAGAGCCAAGGGAAGCTACTCTCCTTCCTGGGGATCCCAAGCAAAGCTATCTCTGCTTTGTGTCTAGGATGAACAGGAGGAAGAAGAGGCCTTCAACCAGAAACATGCACTGCAGAAGGCCAAGGAGGTCAGCCCGATGTCTGCACCCAACATGCCTTCGATCGAGTGAGTCAGCTGCCCCCTTCACTGATCACTGAGCTCCTGTGCTAACAGCCAATTCATCAACTCACAAAACTATTGGTTGCAGGAGTGCACCTACTCCATACTGGAACTGTTCCTGAGAATACGCAGTGAGCAAGATAGATAATAAACACGCACATCATTTCAGATAGTGACAAGTGCTATAAGTAAATGAAACAGGGTCCTATAGTGGAGAAGTACAGGAGCTGGGTGGGAGCAGCTTATGTCAAGCCAGAAGGGATTCTCTGAGGGGGAGCTGTTTAAGCAGAGACCTAAATGTGTAGATGACAGTCCTGTGACATTTTGAAGGAAGAGTGTTCCCAGCAAGGTCCAGTGTGGCTGATGTGTAATTAATGAGGGGAGATAGAGACAGAGCCGGGGAGGGGACGGGGCCGACTCTGAGGTCCTTAAAGTCCAGGTGGAAGAATTTAGCTTTTATTCTGGCTGAAATCACAGGAGGACCTCAAGTGGAAGGATGAATAGGATATGATTTACACTTTTAAAAAGGTCACTCTGTTCTATGGAGCATAACGGACTGTAGGGGCCAGAGTGGAGGCAGGGAAAGAGCCAGCTCTCAGAGTAAAGTAGGGCAGAGGTGATGGGGGTTTAGACTAGGGTGGGGGAAATGGAGGACATGAGTAATCCCATTCAGTCTGTAGTTTGGAGAGAGAGCCAATAGGATGAGCTCATGGATTCAATGTGGCAGGGGTGAGGATGAATAAAAGGGAAGAAACAAAAATTGATCCCAGGTTTTAAGGTTTTGCAGACTAAGCAGCGGGTTGCGGGGTGGTGGTAGTTACTGGATCCTTGGAAACCGGTGGAAATCTAAAGTTCATTTTGAGATTCTTCTAAGGCATCCAAGTGTTGAATAGGCTATTGGTTACCTGCAGCAGGAGCTCAGAAAAGTCAGAATTAAAACAATGATTGGCAGAGGTTATTCGCGTTTAGATGGTATTTAAGTCATCGGTATGGGTCAGGTATCCCAGAGACCTAGCTGCTGAGGACAGAGGCTGACAGTGATCCTGCTACAAGGAGAAACTAGCCACGGAGACCAAGGGAGTATAGCTAGGAGGCAAGAGAAAGAACAGGAGGCATAGTATGCTGGAAACCTGTGAGGGAAGACTCTGCAGGAAGGAGGAGTAGGTGCCAGTGCTGCATACTGTAGAAAAATCACATACAATAAGGAACAGAAAAGGGACCATTGCATATGGCAAAATGAAAGCTGTTAGTGACCTTACAAGAGCCATTTCTATGGCCAGGTTGGAACAGAACCCAGTTGAAGTGGACTAGGGAGAGAACAGGAGGTGATAAAGGAGAGTGGTGAGTCTACTGCTTCAGGGGGCCAGCCTGGACCTGTGGTAGAGCTACAGGCAGTCGGCCTGGGCCCTGCGTGGCCTGGTGTCTGCATGGTGAGACGGGGAGGTGTGGAAGGAGAGGCTAGGAAGTGACTGTAGAACCACATAACTCCTGTTGTTTGCGTCCAGGCCTGCATGAGGACTGTGTGAGTGGTGAGTGGTGCTGGGGCATCTGTGGGATGGTCTGAGACCCCCAAGGGGGTGGAAGTCTATCCTGGCAATGACCCTGTCATTGTTACTTGAAGCTAGTAAGGGAGGAGCCTTTGGTTGGCTAGAGCTCCGGTAAATGGCTCCCAGCAGCCTCTTCTTGCCTTGTGGGGCGTGCCAGGGTTGTGTGCGTGTGGAGGGGGGACCTCCCTCCATGCACGGCCATCATCTTGCCTTTGCCTTTTAAAACTAAAGGCCTGGCCCTTGGATCCCTCTTCTGTGAGTGAGAGAAAAAAATTCCCTTCCAAATTGTTAAAAGTTGATAGGGAAATGCCAAAGATCGATAGGGAATATTCCTCTCTGGAATATTCTCTGGGCCTTGAGTAATTTCTGCTCCACCTTCCCTGAACTCATGAGTTTGGGTTAAAAACACATACACACAGGTATCCAAAAATGTGGATGGGTAGGCCTGGCTGCCACTTAGGAGTGGGTGGTTCTATTTACTGAGATGAGGAAGCCTGGGGGAGAAGTGGGTTTAGAGAGATGTGAGTTGGGACGATGCTTGGCCCAGAGTAGAAACTCACTATTTCTGGAATGAAAGAATGAATGAAATGTGGGTAGGCACCGGCAGGGCCGTGGGAATTGAGCAGAGTGTGCATCAGGGCACAGCGAGGTAGAAGGAGGTGCTGCAAACATCCAAGACCAGCAGACACCCGGGCTTTGGTGCTGTACATGTGCTGTGAGGTTGGTGTTGCTGGTGTGAGCCACCTCCAGGTGTGTGTGCCCTGCTCAGCTGTGTGCACTCTGCTCAGGTATGTGTACCCTGCACAGATGTGTGTGCCCTGCAAAGATGTGTGCACCCGGCTCGTGTGAGTACTCTGCTCAGGTGTATGTGCCCTGCACAAGTGTGTCTACATTGCTCAGGTGTGTGTGTCCTACATAGGTGTGTGTCCTCTGCCCAGGTGTGTGTGCCCTGCACAGGTGTGTGTGCTCTGCTCAGGTGTGTGTACAATGCTCAGGTGTGTCTGCATTTTGCTTGGGTGTGTGTGCCCTGCTCAGCTGCGTGTGCCCTGCACAGATATGTGTACATTGCTCACATGTATGTGCCCTACTCGGGTGTGTGTGCCCTGCTCAGGTGTGTGTGCACTGCTCAGGTGTGTGTGCATTTTTCTCAGGTGTGTGTGCACTGCTCAGGTGTGTGTGCATTTTGCTCGGGTGTGTGTGCCCTGCACAGGTGTGTGTGCCCTGCACAGATGTGTGTACACTGCTCAGGTGTGTGTGCCCTGCTCAGGTGTGTGTGCATTTTGCTCGGGTGTGTGTGCCCTGCTCAGCTGTGTGTGCCCTGCACAGATGTGTGTACATTGCTCAGATGTATGTGCCCTACTCGGGTGTGTGTGCCCTGCTCAGGTGTGTGTGCATTTTGCTCGGGTGTGTGTGCCCTGCTCAGCTGTGTGTGCCCTGCACAGATGTGTGTACACTGCTCAGGTGTATGTGCCCTGCTCAGGTGTGTGTGCGCTCTGCACAGGTGTGTGTGCCCTGCACCAGTGTGCGTACACTGCTCAGGTGTGTATGCTCTGCTCAGTCGTGTATGCCTTGCTCAGGTGTTCATGCCCTGCTTGGGTGTTAAGGCGAAACTGCTGATTTCGGACTACACTTTAAGTGCAAACATGGCTGTCCATGGGGAAACACAGAAGAAGCACTGTTAAAAACCAAAGTGCCTGAGTGCTAGTTATATTTCTCTCACTAATATACTCTGTGATCTCAGAGAGACAACCACTCCGATCTCAGAACCTCTGTTTCCTCATCTTTGAAATGAGAAGAATGCCACCTGCCCTTCCTATCCCACAAGGCTATTGTGGGGTGTACACAAGGTCTCATTCATATGAGTTGGAGACATGTGGATGCTTCTCTGTATGATTTTAGGTATGAATGTAAGTTTGAATCTGTGCATATGTGAGTAGAGAGAATGCCCATGCTTGTGTATGTGAGAGAGAGAATCCTTCCACGTACATACACTCTTACACACATGCTTCTGGATAGCTGGTATTTGAATATTTGAGAATTTGCAAATAGATGGTGTGATGTGCTTTTCCTAGCAGGTGTGCATGCTGCCTGTCTAGAGCGTACGCTTCTACTTTTGTATCTACCCATGCTTCTTGGCTCTCCTGCCCCCACCTGTGCCTTGTTGCATTGCAGACCACTGATGCTGAGGGATGTATTCAGTTGAGGAGGTCACAGGCTTCTCCACAACGATGTCTGCATCAGTGGGTGCTCCTGGGCAGCCACACACATGTGCACTGTGCATCTTCCATACACCCAGAGTGGGCCTCAGACCAACTGCCTCTGCTCCCTCAGAGGGTGGGGGCTCTTCTGCAGACATGTGAAAGATGGTAGTTGATGGGGATTAATTTGCCTAGCATGTTCTCCGTGGGTGGGCATCAGCTTTATCAGGAGAGGAACAGCATTTGCCAACATCCCAGGTCCAAGCAGGGCCCATCGGGCTGGACTGAGTTCATCAGGCCAGTAACTGGGGCAGGCTTACTGCAAGGATAGCCCAGATGTATCATCCTCTAGCTGAGCATTGACCCTGTGCTGACAGCTTATTTACCAGGCGTCCCGTCTGTTTTTGTGGGCACAGTTCATACATCGCCATTCTAACCTTGTGTTTGTAAGAACACAATATGCATATGAAAGAGAGTTTTCTCTCTACAAGGCTTAGAAGGTCAATATTGTGCTCTGCCCTGCCGAACATAGAACAGGGCCTATGGCCAGGGCCTCTGCATTGCTCATAGGCAGAGGTCACTGCTCATATCCTGCAGTACGTGGATGGTGGCCTATGGAAAGATGGTGCTGCCTCTGACCATGGACCACTTTGTAGCCTTGACATCATGCATGGCAGAGCACTTGCTCCCCTGCATGTTTTGTGAAGCTGGGTCAGGGTCTGCTACAGGACTCATGAGCTGGGGAGCCACACCCAATGAATGTGCTATGCTAGCCCTAGAAATGACTCGGGGGAGGGGAAGAAAACTACTCGGCAACATCTACTGGATTTCCAAAATAGGAATCTGAAGGATGTGTAGGTGGAAGTTTGCGTGCCTGTGGGGCATGGTGTTTGAGCATCTGGAGCTGTGGATCGTGTGAAATGGCATAGCCTGTGTGGCTCTGCATGTGTGCTTCAAAAACTAGATCCATGTATTTGCACATAGCAAGGAATTGAAAGTCACTGCATTGGAGAGTCGAACATGGGGAGTCTACAGAAGGCAAGCAGGCACATGGAGACCCGATGGCCACGCAGAGGACTCTGTGTCCCCCTCCAGAAATCCGCTGGTGGCTCTGGGGCTTGAGGTTCCTAGAGGTTGGGGTGAACTGAACCTGTTCGTTTTTCTTCCCCAGAAGAGACAGAAGGAGAAGACACCACATGTCGATGTGGGAGCCACGCAGCAGCCACCTGTATGTGTGTACCAGTTTGCGTGTTTGTGAGTGGTTACGTGTGGGTGTGGGACAATGTGTCGTTGTCCTTGCCATAGACAAAGTGGCACTGGGTGTGCATGTCAGTGTGAGGCTTGGTGTGTGTGTGTGTGTTCTGTTCACATGATCTGTGGATATGCCCTCTGCACCTCTCAACATGTGCTTATATCAGTGTGTGTCTACATATGTGACCTGTGTGTTTTTCGCTCTTCAGTCTGGCCTGTGAATGGGTATATGTTGTGTTAGTGTTGGTGGGTGTACCTCTCACGTAGGCAGTTGTGTACAGCTATGTGTGGGCCTCAGTGAGGGTGCGTGTGGGTACATCTGTGTGTCCCCTTCACAGTTTGTAGGTGTGCGCCCACAGGCACAGGCGTGGGGAGGAGGTGACTCCCCGTCCGCCCAGCAAGCCCTCTCCCGTGTGCTCTCCTGCATTTGTGTTCATGTGTTTCTGCTGCCCCGTGAATGCTCCTCTAGGCCCCTGGGCTGAAATGCTCAATCGCAGTTTTGAGTATGAGCTGCTGGTGGTCTCTGCACTTAGCCTTCTGTGGCTTTTATTAGCTATTGTGAAAGAGACTCATAGCACTCTCACTTTTGAGGGTGGTATCAAGACTTTTTGTAATAAGTCTGCCTGGCACTCTTCTCACCCTTCAATGGTATCTGACCATTTCAGCCCTCATTGTCCCAGGCTGTAACCTGAGAGGGAAGGGAGATTGAGGGGGAGAGGAGGAGGAAAGACCTTTGACCTTGAATCAAGGGCCATTGAGTGTGTACAAGCAGACGCCCTGAAAGCAAGGAGAGCAGGGGAGTGAAGACGTGGTAAGCCTGTGGACTGCTGCCCCAGCAGGCCCTGGGGACTTGGAACCCCTCCCAGGGCTGATGCCTACCCACCCCTCAGTTACTGCAAAGCAGGGATTGGAGTGGAAAGTGCCCAGGCTGGGAGGCACCTGCCCGATGAGCTCCTCACGTGTGGCCCGCCTGCTCCTCGCATCTTTCTGTGCTTCCTGTCTGCAGGTCCTGGGCGCTCCCATTTGCCCCCACCATGTGTCCCGCCCTCTCACATGGCCCCTGCGGCCACCCTCCCTGCCTGCAGCTTTCAGGCTCTGACCACAGCCCTGCCCTTTCCCCTTGGCAGGAGGGAGCGGAGGCGCCGGCACCACATGTCTGTGTGGGAGCAGCGCACCAGCCAGCTGAGGAAGCACATGCAGATGTCCAGCCAGGAGGCCCTCAACAGGGAGGAGGCGCCGTCCCTGAACCCGCTCAACCCACTCAGCTCCCTCAACCCACTCAACACCCACTCCAGCCTTTATCGGAGACCCAGGGCCATCGAGGGCCTGGCCCTGGGCCTGGCCCTGGAGAAGTTCGAGGAGGAGCGCATCAGCCGTGGGGGGTCCCTCAAGGGGGATGGAGGTGACCGATCCAGTGCCCTGGACAACCAGAGGACCCCCTTGTCCCTGGGCCAGCGGGAGCCGCCGTGGCTGGCCAGGCCCTGTCATGGGAACTGTGACCCGACTCAGCAGGAGGCGGGGGGAGGAGAGGCTGTGGTGACCTTTGAGGACCGGGCCAGGCACAGGCAGAGCCAGCGGCGCAGCCGGCATCGCCGCGTCAGGACGGAAGGCAAGGAGTCCTCCTCAGCCTCTCGGAGCAGGTCTGCTAGCCAGGAACGCAGTCTGGATGAAGCCATGCCCACTGAAGGGGAGAAGGACCCTGAGCTCAGGGGCAACCATGGTGCCAAGGAGCCAACGATCCAAGAAGAGAGAGCCCAGGATTTAAGGAGGTGAGTGAGTCACGGGGTCCCAGATGGACGGCGCACAGGCTGCTGTTAGGCATTCCTCAATATAAGCCTTTCTGAGCTCCAGTTTCCCCTTTTATAAAATGGAAATTATGCTGACACACACTTTGTGAGGTATGAATAAATATAACAGGCAGTGGGCTCTGTCCCCCTGAAAACGAGGGCCTGTTGGAAGTGGGTCGTGGATAGAAGGACAGGAGTAAGGCAGTGACCATGGCGTGCAGGTCTTAGCACCTCTCTGCCTGGCTGGGTGGGGTGGAAGGCGGTGGTGGCTTTGTGCCTTCCAGGCTGCCTGAGCTTCCCCACCTTCCCCTCGTGCCAGGCACACCCGCCATTTGGGGACAGCATCTGAGCACCAGCTCTCTCCTCCTCTCTCCACAGGACCAACAGTCTGATGGTGTCCAGAGGCTCCGGGCTGGCAGGAGGCCTTGATGAGGCTAATGCCCCCTTAGTCCTGCCCCATCCTGAGCTGGAAGTGGGGAAGGACATGGTGCCGACGGAGCAGGAGCCGGAAGGTAGCAGTGAGCAGGCCCTGCTGGGGGATGTGCAGCTAGACATGGGCCGGGTCATCAGCCAGAGTGAGCCCGACCTCTCCTGCATCACGGCCAACACGGACAAGGCCACCACCGAGAGCACCAGCGTCACCGTCGCCATCCCCGACGTGGGCCCCTTGGTGGACTCAACTGTGGTGCACAGTGAGAGCGCAGTCCCGTTTCCCCTCCAACCCCACCTCCTATCCTGTCTGGGGCTGGGGCCCTTCCAATAAAGCCACATGGAAAGCACCACCAGGAGGAGTAAATCATCCTTCAAGAAGTAAAAATGAGTGGCAGTTTTCTCCCCGTGTGCAGAACAAAAATAAGCCAGCATTCTCTTCATCTTAAATTTTTCCCATAAAATTTCCCCAAGCTTTTGGTTCCTGTGACCACACTCAGGTCTTCAGAGTGATCACTTGTGACTTTGTGCCCAGTGAGATTTTGCTTTGGTGTATGAATATTTGATGGTGTTCTCTGGGGTCTCCCAGGTGCTCTGCTGCCCCAGCAAGTTAGGGAGCCTCTGATGGAGTGGACCATGGCTCTGCTCACTGAGTGACCTTCGAAAAACCTCTGTGTCTCTTGAGGCCTCAGTTTGTCGTCTGTAAAGTGAGAGCGTTGTATTAGATGATCTCTGAGGCCGTTCCCTGTACTAATATTTTATATGATTCTATTGCTCTTACCAACTCTTTTTCTCCTAGGAGCGGTTAGTCACAAGTTCTCCCCATCACAGTTCCCTTAGGCAACAAATGTTAATTATTGATGTCCTAAAGGGAAACACAGCAAAACGAACAAACAAACCAAAAAACACTTCTCCACCCCTGCCCTGACCCTACATCCCATCCCTGTATTCATCCCACCCCTTATCCTTGCCCTGACCCCATACCCCATCCCTGCCCTGACCCCACACCTCATCCCTGCGTTATTAATTCCACACCCTATCCTTGCCCTGACCCCATACCCCATCCCTGCCCTGACCCCACAGCTCATCCCTGCGTTATTAATTCCACACCCTATCCTTGCCCTGACCCCATACCCCATGGCTGCTCTGGCCTCATGCTGTCCCCACATTAATCCCACCTGCCGTCCCAAGATCACTGAATTGTGACCACAGGGTTCCAGCTTTGATGTTTTCCTCTTACTTTTTCTGTATTTACTCTTTCACATGACAGTCTTCCCCCTCCCTGTTTTTCTTCCATGCTCCCTCCCCATTTCTGCATGTTCTCTACAGTCAACATGCCACTACTGCTTCAGAAAGTGCAGTCTCCCATGTCCAGTGGCACGCTTCAGTTGACTTGGGCATGTCTCAGGATCCCAGACCCACAGCTCTTTTGGTGTTTGTTTGCTTTAATATGTAAGAAGTGTTTTGGGCCTTCTTTTATGAGAAAGAACATAAAGCTTTACTCTCCCTCTGTTCTAATTCCAGAGCTACTCTTTGGTCTTGGTCATAGGTAAAAGCATGTGATAGGAAGCATGTGATTGGATACTTCTTATGACTGACTCTTTAGGAGGAAGCCCTGGCGTGGGCCAGGACCACCAGGATCCACTGCTAACATAGGGTTCCAGGGTGGAGTCATTCAATGAGCAGGGAGCAGTGGGGCCCTTTCCCCGCTGTGACAGCTTCAGCCTCCTGCCAGTTTAACCTATACCATGTCTTGAGTATGGAAACAGCAGCAGCAGCTGAGAGCTCCCCTCGACCTCTGGCTCCTTCGTCCTCCCAATCCTGGGATGCAGTCATGAACCTATACTCACATGATTATTACATTCTCATTTCTACATTAATCATGGCCAAAAAAAAAGCACAGCCAGAAAGGCTGCTGCAAACAGTCATGATTTATTGAAATCTTCCATTGCAGGGTGATTCACTGAAAGGCGATAGGATTTTAAATCAGGAACCCATACTAGCTTTATGACCTTAGGAAAAGTACTTAAATTGCCAGAACTTTAGTTTTCCCATCTGTATCATGGGAGTAATAATACATGCCACTCGGGGTATACCATGGGAAAATTCAGTAAGTGAATATGTACAAAGAATCCAGAGTTTAGATGTAAAATCTAAACCTTGTAAATTTTATAACAGAAATACTATGTTGTTTATCAGACTCTAAAAGTTCAACCTTAAAAGGGGAAACATGATCATAGTCATTTATATGACATAAAAGGTTATTTCTCATAACGTCTGGGGAGGGTGAAATAAGAAGAGAAGAGTTTAACTCAATGTCAGGTAGTAAATACCCCCAATGCCTGCAGGGCATGTTTGTTAGGGATGTCCCTGGAGCCCTTTCTCCTCCTCTCCTTTCATCCCCAACTAAACACAAATGGTGCCAGTTTCACATGCTGCATGGTTTCTGAAGATTTCAATGTGTTCTCTTGTAGTTAGCAACAAGACGGATGGGGAAGCCAGTCCCTTGAAGGAGGCAGAGATCAGAGAGGATGATGAGGAGGTGGAGAATAAAAAGCAGAAGAAGGAGAAGCGTGAGACAGGCAAAGCCATGGTGCCCCACAGCTCAATGTTCATCTTCAGCACCACCAACCCGTAAGCCACCCTCGCGTTGCTCCCTCTTTGGTGCTAGGGTAAACGGCCAGGTGTGAGGCAGGGCAGGGTGAAGGGGAGAGGAAGGATGGGGGCCCAGCCATCTTCTTAAGCCTTCCTGGTGGGGCATGGCCAGACATTGAGCATCTGGGGTGCCCACTAAGTGAGGTGGGTTGGTAAGTTACACAGCCTCTGAACTCTGCCCGTAGCCAAAAGAGTAACGTCAGACAGGAGAGCATGAGACATGTCATCAGAAAGGAACTCTTTACCAGTCTTTGGTCAGTAGGTAGCATGGAGAAAGGAAGGAAATCTACATGAGATTGTGTCACCGAATATTCCAGAAGTGGATAGAGCCAAGAATGTGGAGCCTAGAATGACCAGATCACCTGTTTGAGTTGAGAGTTTTGGTCACACTGCTCTCCATGTGGAGTTTTGAAATGGTCTGCTCTAAGCATGCTACTCAGAGCAGAGGCAGGGACATGAAGTGGGCGTGACAGAGCGGAGTCTGGAAGGTTAGATTCAGGAAAGATGGAATTTGGAAAGAGCGTTCCAGCAGGGCTCCGGGAAGAGGGCAACCTGGGTTAAGGCATGTGAGCCATCCATGACTAGAATGCAGAATATAGAATACAGTTACTTTAACCAGAATAACCTGGGGCTCATGAAAACTCATTACTGCTTTCGTCAGGATCTTAGAATCAAGATCTATTTTTATGTTTCTTGGTTCTTTGTAATTTCCTTGGGATGTCCCAGTTTCCTTAGAGTGGGAGAGTAGACATCAAGATACAGCAGAGGGTGCTGTGCAGCCGCCCTGAGTTGGTAGGCTGATGCTGGCTGCTCCCCATGGCTCAGACGTGCTTGCAGATAATGTGTCTTGGCTTGCGTGCTGCAGCCTCTAACCAATCTGATTACCTTCTTCCACTGGGGCTTTAAATCAAGGGTGGTGGCTGAGAAATTAAATTGCTCTCCCTGGCGGCTTCCTTTGGCAAGGGCCTGGCTGTCTGGAAGGGGCCGATATGTGTATGTGGGAGTGAGGAGTAAGGGCATGGGTGTAGTGGGGAGTGGGCCAGCTCAGCCGTGCTCCACTGCCCGCAGGATCCGGAGGGCCTGCCACTACATCGTGAACCTGCGCTACTTTGAGATGTGCATCCTCCTGGTGATTGCAGCCAGCAGCATCGCCCTGGCAGCAGAGGACCCCGTCCTGACCAACTCAGAGCGCAACAAAGTGGGTGCACAGGGACCATGTGTCAGCCTCCGTAGTACTCTGGTGCTCACCCCATCCCAGCTCTGGAGGTGAACCGAGATGGTAGCAAGGTTTCTGGGGAATGAGCAAGGATTGGAAATTGCCCACTCCTGTTCCTCAGGGCTAAGTATGAACCATTCCCAGACAAGCCCCTTCCAAGCCCAACACACTGCAAGGCTCTGCCTCAAACCGGCCAGGGCTCTGTGAGGCTCTGCAGCCACCCATGGGCTTGGATGTGGGTCTAATGTAGGGTCATGGATGGTGTGTGTGAAGCTGGCAGCTGCAGCTCCACCACAGGGGGCCAAGGCCTCTCCTGGGGGTCCCACGGGTATATGTCAGGAGACATGAGGGACACGAGGAGGACAGGAGCTGACAAGGATTTCAGGTCCTGAGCCAGAACTGAGGGACAGGTATATGGACAATTCAGACCCAAAAAGTTAAGTTCTGGCCAACGAGAGGGAACAGCCAAGGAGTGGCCACTGGGTCACATGGCTCCAGCAGGGCCCATGCCCCTCCTTCTGGCATTTCTCTCAGTCCACCTAGTGGCTCTAATTCCAAGCCTTTGTTCTGAGGGTGCAGTGGGTGAAGGCCGGGGTGGGCAGGCACGAGTGCATGTGTCCTGGCAGGTGGGAGTGCGTGTAGTAGCCTGTTGGCCACACATGGTCATTTCCTTCTGCCATATATGTCTTTCAGGTCCTGAGGTATTTTGACTATGTGTTCACGGGCGTGTTCACCTTTGAGATGGTTATAAAGGTAAAAACTTCTAGAGAAAACCTGGGCTCTTGGGTTTAGATAGGTCACCTGTCTGCTCCTTAGGCTAGAGCCTTTCCTCAGAGTTACCACCTACCAGCCAATGGCAGCCCTCAGTAGAGCTTCTGCCGCCCCTTCTCTGGCCTCAGAATCCTGAAAAAATCTGTCTCAGCAAGACACGGCTGCATGGATATGTTTGTACTGGTGCAGGCCTGTGGACATGGCCCAAGTAGGAGGCAGGCAACAGGTGTGCAGGCAGGCTTGGGGCCAGCACTCTCCTCCCCAGTGCTTGTCCTGGCTGAGCCTGGGTGTATGTCAAGGCAAAGGGCTAGGTAGAGATGAGTCTTCCTGGGCTTCATCTAGTCCCAGCCATCATAACACCCCATAGTCTGTCTTGTTCCCAGCCTCATCCATCCAGGATTTTACCCATCTGTGCATATGTGGCAATGCCCAGTGCTCTGAGCCATAAATGAAAGGAGGAATGTGGCAGGGTTCTGTGAAAACCAAGGAGTCTAGTGAACCCTGAGTGACTATGAGATGGGGGCCTCAGGACTCAGTCATGTGGAGAAAGCCTGCTGGACCTACGGTCTCATTCTCCAGGTCCTAGCGTAGGGTTGGTTGTGGAGATAGTGGCAGTGGAGGCATTGCCACGATGAACAGAGCTCAGGTCAAGTGTTGCCCACACCTTTTGGACTCATTGTGGCTGTTCATATCCTTCTTCTGCAGATGATAGACCAAGGCTTGATCCTGCAGGACGGGTCCTACTTCCGAGACCTGTGGAACATCCTGGACTTTGTGGTGGTCGTTGGCGCATTGGTGGCCTTTGCTCTGGCGTAAGTGACTCTTTTCTTATTTGATTCCCTTCCTTCCCCTCTTCCTGGAGACTCCAGTTGATTTGAAGCCCTTTCCAGAAATGCAACATTCAGGGTGATGCCAAAGAATGTCCCTCCGGGAAATCTGCTCCCCAGTCACCCTCAGCAGAGCTCCTGAGCACCTTGCAGCTCCAGCTTATGTGACCTGACTGGCAGAATGGGGGAAGCAGGATTAGGGAGCGTCAGGAGGGAGAAGTCAGAGGCCCTGGGAATTCCTTTCCTGGAAACGAGTAAGCATGGGCAGGCACTCACAGTGTGGACAGTGCTTCCATGCATTTAGCAATAGACCCAGGAACAGCTTATGGGCCCTTTCTTTCTTGAGTGTGTCAGTCAAGGAAGCAGCTTGAAAGAAAGATGCAGAGGGTAGTGCAAAGTTGAGGATCACGGAATCCTAGGCATGGTGAGGTTTTCTGTTCATAGCAGGTGTAAATGAGAGCTCTTCCGGGGATGCAAGAACCATGCTTTCGCACACACCTAATAATATGTTTAATCTCCAAAAGGAAAGGCTTTCCAAATTTTCCTTGATAATGTACTTAGGAAAACAGCCTTAAACCATTCAGGCAACTAAATCATGTTCATTATATTTGTGGGATTTTTTTTCTCCCACACATGGATCCAACTCTAGACAGTTTTCAATCACATTCTGACATTTCCTGTGGAATCTAGCCAAGGAAAGGGCTCTTCTAGCCCTCCTGGGTGTAACTAGGAAATGGGATGCTTTCAGGGTATTTTTCCTAACCTGGTGTATAGAGTGCCCCAGAAGGATGAATGACAGCCTCGGGGTTCTGTCTGTACCTTGTTCACCCTGAGCAGCTTCAGCCTCTTCCAGGATGCACAACAGAATTCTCAGAGCCATCCCTCAAGTCTCTCTGAGTACAAGTGGAAGCTTCATCTTTAGCCTCAGCAAGGCTAGCTACACCATGTGGCGAGGCAGGAGAGCTTTCAGGAGCTGCTGTCATTGAGTCATTGATGGCAGCTGCGAAAGGAACACAATGTCTTCATACATTTACCCTTCTGAGTGGTTTTCCCTCCAAGGGTTTGCCCTTCCAAGTGTTTAGAAAGAGATCACCATTGGAAGGGTTTGCCCTTCTAAATGTTTAGAAAGACAGGGAAGCTGGGCCAGGCGCGATGGCTCACGCCTGTAATCCCAGCACTTTGGGAGGCCGAGGCAGGCGGATCACAAGGTCAGGAGATCGAGACCATCCTGGCTAACACGGTGAAACCCCATCTCTACTGAAAATACAAAAAAATAGCCAGGCATGGTGGTGGGCACCTGTGGTCCAGTTACTTGGGAGGCTGAGGCAGGAGAATGGCGTGAACCAGGGAGGTGGAGCTTGCAGTGAGCTGAGATCGCGCCACTGCACTCCAGCCTGGGCGACACAGCGAGACTCTGTCTCAAAAAAAAAAAAAGAAAGGGAAGCTGACAGTGCTTCTCCTCAAGCTTCTCCTCAAGCACTGTCAGCTTCCGTCTCTTATCCTTTCTGGCAGAAAAATAGGTGGGGTGAGAATTACAAGATGTTTGTCAAGTGGCCTGGTGGGGTGGGGATAGTGGAGGGCTATGTCTTAAGGAGAGGTACAAGGTACACGCCCAGCTGTGCTAGAAGTGTAGGATCTCCCAGAACCTGCAAGTGGACTGTGCTCCCTCAGCCACGAGACTGTGACATGAGTGGACTGTGCTCCCTCAGTCATGAGAGACCGTACAAAAGAAAACCATGTTGGGCATAGTTTGTGACCCTGAAATAGGCTGGTGATCAAAGTAACTCCAGTGTCCCTTGTCCCCTTGTGCACATGTTAATTCCGTTGTGCAGTCACTTTTGCCCCCCACAAAAAGAAAGCTTTCCGTCACATGTGGCTGGACTGTTCTTGAGGAAATTTTACAGAAACATGGGGTATTTTCTCAAGCATCTGGGCCCTGTCTGGATTCTCGTGGTACAATGAAAGGAGAGGCAGCTCTGGCTCCATCAGAGGGACTTCCAGCTCCTCTTCCATCTTCTTGGAAAGATGGATTAAAGTCTGCTTTTGCCCTAAGGAGACCCACATTTTTTGTTAGAGATAAATATTATCCTTAGGTTTTTAAAAGGTCAAGTTCCCTTTTCATTTTACTAATTCATTTGCATAGATTATCCACTGTATCATTCTTATTTTGATCTCTAAAAATCATGTGTCTCTCTTTGAAGTATAAAGAACAAGGAGATAGAAGCATATAGGAAAGAACCCACCCCATCTTTAGGAAGAACAGAAGCCACTGGCGTAACAGGACAGAGTGGCAGGAAAGGTTGGGCTGTGGAACCAGATGGGCCCTTGTTTGAATCCCAGCCCCTTTACTTTCTAGCTTTGTGTCCTTGAGCCACACAGCAAAATATTAACCCTCCTAACCTCAGTTCTCATCTCTGAAATGCAGATAAAATAATGTGTGTAAAGTGCTTAGGACAGGGCCTGATGTAGTGTGAACAATCAATACTTGTTAATTACCCTCCTCATCCTTCCATTCTCTTATCACATCATGAAATCCAAATATAGGAGCAAATATGTATTGATGCGCAATGTATACAGATAGATGTGTGCAGGCTGGCCCAAGACCTAGTTGTTTTATACATATACACCCCCCTCGCCTATGCCTGTGTGCCTGGTAACCAGGCTGGCATTTTGGTGCCAGTGTGGGAGGAGGTGTGTTTTAGAGGAAGCTCCTGCATGCCTGCCCATTGTCCACAGTCCAGACATCTCTCCTCAGACCCAGAGCAGTGATGATGTGCAGTAGAGCTGTCATCTGTCTTGTTCTTTCTTTGTGCCCTTTGAAACGTGGCAGTGGTGGCTTTGGTGCTGGTGGCAGGGGAAGCCTTAACAGCCCCGGAGCCGAAGCCTCTCTGTTGTTCCTCAGACCAGGTACAGTGCAGGGGCCCCCAGGAACCCCCTGGTTCTGGGGTCCATACTTATGTGATGGATTGAGAGTTATGATCCATCACTTGCTTTTAGTCATGTCACTTCTTGAACTCTCCCTTCATTTTCTCCGAAACATAGATGGTACTTGCTCACCCTTCTCCATCCATTTTCTCTTTTGCCTTCAACTTTCCAAGCTTGCCATGCCATTCCCTCTCCCCTTTCTGTGCTCATGGAGCAGGCTCCCACTCCCCCTCCTCTGGCCTTCGTCATATTTGCTGAGCGAGGTCCGGGTAATGCTTTCTTTTGCTCATGCACCCATGCTTTCAAACTCTGTCCTGTTCCTTTCCTCATTAATGGCACCAGAGAATTCAGCTCTCCCATCACTTTGGTGGAGTTAGCCAGAGTCCTGCCTGCCAGCAGAGAGAGGACCTGGCCTGGGACAGAGAGTGAAACAAGTCACTGAGCCTATGTCCCTCATGATCAGGGGCTCAGGCCAGCAGAAAGCCAAATGTGGGGTTGTCTGCAGGCTTGTCAAGTATGTCTCTCCTTGTGTTTACAACTTTCGTTATCATATCCCATATATTTGCCCCATAATGTCCACCATTCAAATAACCTTATTCCTGTCCCAGTCTCTTTCTGTCTTTCTTAAAATTGAACCATGACTTACTGAGGAGGCTTCTGTGAAGCCTATTGCTTAATCGACTTGAGCTACTGATGGTGGTTGCCATGGTAGCATCTTTCTGTGGCTCCTCAGAAACCAGGGCTGACATGGCATTCCTTCCACCACCCACCCAGAGCCTTCTCAGACCCTGGTCCAACCCCCAGGAGCAAAGCCCCTCACCAAGTGGGGGGAATGACCTCTAGCTGAATTCTCAAAGAAAGCTGCGGTGTCCCCTGAGCCCTCCTGCCGAGGCGTGTGCCTGCCACCATGTATGTTTTCTACAAGCATATATGTTGTTTATGCAGTGGCTGAAGAGAAGACTGTTCTCCACAGCTGCATACATCAAGTTAAGGGAATGTTTATAATGTAAACCTGGAAAATTCCGTTGGGGAACTTTATTGACTTTTGAGGAGGAAGGGAAGGGGATTTTTTCATTTATTTATTTTTCTTCTTGGATTTATTTTAAGTGTGGGCAGAGCAGTGGATAAAAAAATAAATGGAAAGATACCCACATTGCAACTTTTCTGTTCTTTCCAATTCACTTTTACATTATAAGGCATTTATAAGAACACTCAGGTCTCATTCCTTAAGCTCAGCGTCCCTGCAGGGAGGTGGGCAGAGTTGTGGCAAAGGTTGGGTTCAGGGCTTCATTATTCCACTGTCCTCACAACGCCTGCTTTCTGGGCCACATGGAGACAGAGTGTTTGCTGACTATAAATGTCCGCAGCTGTGCCTTCTGTACTTTGAGGTTTCAAGAAAAGTCTGGTGAGTGGCTGGATCTATGAAACCTTCCTCTTTTATCTTTTTCTTTCCAAAGAAGAGGGATTCTTTTGTGTGATTTTACGTGAAAGGACCAGAAACCGCTTTGCCCAGTTTCCACACACCCTGTTGCCATCTCTGCTGCTTCCCGGCCTCCTGGAGGGAAGGCAAAGATGGTTACAGCCTTGGCATTTCCGGGGATCTGCACATGAGGCACATTCCCCTGCTTTGGGGGGCCCTGCTCCCCAACCAAAGTCAGCTGCCTTGTAGGGAGGTCACGCAACCACTACACAGATTACATTCCTGAACCTCACAGAACCCTCATGTTTCATGTCTTTCATGTTTAGTGAAGTGACTTGGGAAAACAGGTGGACAGGGACAGAATCTCTGGAGAAATGCAGGAGAGGACCAGAACACCTGTGCGTGTGTGTCTTTCTGTGTGTGACACCTGCACTCCAACCCAGGACCCTCACCCTCTCCATTTCCACTGCTCTACAACATGTTACTTGACTAGCTCGATTCACATGAGCAGGTGAGCTCTCCTGGATTGGATTCTAAGTAGTCAACTCATGGCTTATAATTGCTCAGCAGCAGCTCAGATTGTTTAATAGAAAAATAACTAGCAATTTTGCTCCCATCTCCTCCCCCACCTCAGAATTCA